AATATGCCCCTCTCGTCCGCTCAACTTTTATCACCATGGTGTACTGCTGCATCCGCCAATAAAGCTGTTTTAGCGACCCACACAATGCTGTCCACGACCTTGCCCTCAACACCGGCCCTTGCATGAGTCAACTGCAACCTAAAGTTCTCCTCGATGAATGAATCCATGTCCTCCTTCCTAACCTTCCCGCCATCCGGAGCCCAAACAATTGTGAATATCCTCATGTGCCCCACTTCTTGCACTCCAACCTCGAGGTTCTTCGCGTTGCGTCTGCAGAAACGAATGATATCTTTCCCGGACGACGTCTGCCAAAAGGCTGCCTTCTGCACAGCCATGGATCCTGCAGTGTTGGATAGCCCATCTCGTGCCGCCGGGTCGAGCTCGAGACCTGTGCGCTTGAGGGCGTCGTAAGCGGAAACGAAGCCTGGTTTCTGGACCTTCAAGAAGATGACATTCGTCTTGACCCCCAGTCGCAATAAGTTGCCAAGATACGCTGTGGTGTTTGTCCAGGTCGTGAGACGGTAGACGACGGAGGAGTCATGTCTCCAGGTTTTGTACACCGTGAAGCGGTCTTTGTCGAACATCCAGTTGAAAGTGCTCATGGCTGCTATATTATGGCCTCTATCTCGAAGCCTGCTGCTTTTATATTGGGTCTTCCGTTATTTGGGTCGAGAGCTCTCGGCAGGACGCAAAAGGGTGCTCATTCAATACTTGACCAGGATCTAGAGCCTGCTGACTCTGCCGATTCTGCAGCGCTTTCCATATGAGTGACAACTATTGTAATCGAACGCTTGAATCGCCTGAAGGAGGCTATTCACATGGTATGTGATGATTTTGGAGGGCTGTCAATCCAACGAATCATGAAAATCCACGTATCGCACTTCCAAACTTTGTCTCCAGCGGTGACAGCTTTCATTTCGCCCAGTCAGCACGGAGGAAGGACGAATGCACACCTCGGCAGTCGCAGCCATGATAACGATTCTAAACGGGTGATATATATATAAGTATGTTTAACTTTTAGAGATACTTACTGCATTACTACCACAAGGGTTATCATGGAATGGATACCGAAAGAAAGATCCTTATCTCATTCGCACAGCGGAGCAAAATCCCAAATACATGTCATGACAGTAAGAATTGACATCGGTACCTGGAGACAATGACACGCCCAGATTTCTCATCCAAAATTGGCCCAGAGATCACCTTTCGAGGATGCGCTCGCAATGCAACCAGTTCGGTGATAGCTGGTGATTTTCTTTGTCGGGTCACGAACGACGCCCAAGTAGGTGTCGACGCGGTCTTCAGCAATAGCGGCGTTGTTATATCCATAAAATGGATGCCCCACCACGGAATGGGAGGCCAAAGTCATGGTAAGCAGTTTCAGTGAGATTGCAGGTAGGCGGACCTAAGTAAATTGAAATTATCAGTAGGTGTAGGTAGACATGGGTGAGTTAACGAATTGGTTGGACAGGAGCAGGGCCAGCAGGCTGCCACAGTCTTGATCACCAGAACATAGTAACAGCAGTGACATTCAGTTTTCTGCGATACGCTTCGTAAATAGAAACTGGCGAGAATCAATGTGTCTGCCGGTTAAACCGGCGCGCAGGCGGTCAGCATAGGGAAGGAGCTCTAGAAAAGGCCATTTGAAGTTGAACAATGAATATCAAATTCGTGCGGTGTGCCGGGCCGGCCGGAAGCATTTGCGCCGATCGGGCCGAAAGGTCTCTTCCCTCTTTGACGCCAACCTTAACATGGATGCACCAACTTCTCTTTGTCCCGGCTACAAACAAGTAGAATCCTTTGGACCGGACGAAGAGTATGAAGATGAGGAGGAGGAGGTGTGCTATGTTACATTGGACTTGGGCAACGTCGAACCAACGCTCGTCCCGAGTTCTTCATCCTACAGGCTCATCGTGAGCGCAACGTAATGAGGTTTTTATTCACTTTTCTGACAACAAATTAGGGTCTGGATACGCCAACCCCTTTCCTCCAGCTCCAAGGAACTATCTTTAAAGGCCGTCATAATCTGCTACTAGGTACTGAGTTGATATTCACAGACGACAAAGGTGAGTGCGGGTTTTGGTCTATCTCATTTCAGTCATCTCACAAATTCTCCACGAAAAGAAAGCCACGATTGGAATAAAAGATCTGTTACCCATGTCGCAAACACGGAGCAGAGAATCACGTTTCAAGAAGTTACACTCATACCCAAGGAGTCGAAAGGAAAAGAGAAGGCGGATGCTGAGATAACTCCCAACCTCGAACCTCCACCCGGCGACAGTTCTCACCAAATAGATCGCATGACGGGTGTGTCTGCTCCACCCACCCGCGCTCCGAGGACACGGAAGGCCGCTTCGGACGCAAAATCCTCCTCGAAGCGCAAAGGAAAGCAGCCTGCCAGGGCCACCCGCAAATCGACCGTGCCAACACCTCAGCCTTCGGAGGTCGCTTCGACAAGTGGGGGGAAAGATGACCAAAACAACGACATGGATGACATGTACGTGGATACGGAATAAAGTTCCTACGTCGTCAGGTTTCATCGTCATTTCGCTTCGCCTCTCGATCGCGACTGTGTTTTGCTCCTCAAATTCTCTCCGATTGCAGGGGCATCGGCATTTGCTTCAAGCCCATCCTGGAAGACACGGCTGGGCTACCGGCGCAGTTTTATCATAGCCTCATCTATCCGACAAGGCTTTGACAATACAAAATAAAATTCTCATCAAATGTACTCCAGAGAATCCCGTTCGCCTGAAGTGAAGGGCGAGCTGTAAGGAATCAGGGCCACTCCGGATCTCATCAACCATTCCTGCTAAGGAGCACCCAGGGCCAACCAAAGTAGGGCTACGAGCTCGACGTTGGTTCAGAGCATTCGCATTCCCTCTTCGTCCCCATCCACTCGTTTTCCAGGCGAAAAATCAATCCTAAACCTGTCCCTCTGCGCGAATGTCTTCCACACTCCAGTCCTTACTGCCTCCTTCGCAATCTCCGATACCGAGCCGTCAACGTCAATCGACTTGACGAGAAGACATACCTCTAGGTTCTGGAGGACTTTGGGATAGGGCGCTAACGCTTCCTCGATGATCGACGGTATTGAACACCATGTAAGGGGCTGCAAGGCGGCGTGGTCAGGGATGCCCATGAAAGTGTACATGCTTTTCGCATCCAGGGTGTTGGAGATGGATATCCGTTCAAGACAAGGTGTACCTTGCTCGGGGGTGCCGAACGCAGAGAATAGTTGTTTGAAAAACTCGCGGAAGAAGGTGTCCATGATGCCTTCGCGTGATTCGTGGCTCATCAGCATCCCCTCGATGTGTAGGCATCGAATTTGGGTAAGCGATGCAAAACCCTGGTCTGTTATCGTTCTTAGAGCTAGGGGAATAGGGGAATCAGCGAGCTGAGTATGACTCGGAGCTACAACCTACCGGTAAGTGAGCCCGGCAGCGAAATCCACAATGTCTTTATCGTTGATCCACGAGCTTCAAGGTACTGTTTCAGCAATGGCGTCATATCTGGCTCATATTCCGCGTTCATGCGAATATCGCATACAGGGGGAGTAGGATGCTGATCGAGTAACCATCTAAGGACGGCCATTCCACCGAGCGTACTCATGTTCCGGCTCCCTGCAACTTCTAATCTCCGGAGGTCTAGTAATGGGACGTGGAACAGGTTGCCTGGCGGCCGCGCCTTGAACTGATCAAGGCTGAGGTTCTCCTCACACGATGAGTCCATTGATATAATTGGGCGCGAAATTGACAATTTCTCGAGGAGGTGCCATGATGAGAGATAGCCAAAGAATCTCGTTGGGCAGCGAAAGGCAACTCGTTCCGCCTCCATCGATTTGATGCTCTTCATTTCTTGCAGCAACCGCCAAAAGATGTCGGGAACATCGGACAGGGAGAGAGCCGTTAATCGGACGGACTCTACACCACCTAGACGTCCTCGTAATCGAGAGAAGTCTTTTGGCGTGTAGTTGGTCGGAATTGCTGAAGGAAGTAAGCCTCGGGAAAGTGCCACCCTTTCTCTGCACCGCAACTCACAGATGGTCTTTTTTCGCTCGCCAATGACGACAACTCTTGAAATGGAGTCAGCAAAGCTGCTCCAGGGTGCATCTAGGAGCGCTAGAAATGCATATAGGCCGTCGGATTTGAGAGCTACCTCCGAAAAGAGGTGGTAGCGGGAAACGGAAACGAGCCGCGATGAAGCAAGGCTGCAGGCGAGGAGCGTCTGGCGGTCATCATGCAGGAAGTCGATAATTTCTTCCAAGGTTTCTTGAGGGAGAGTCACGAAGGGAATGATGATGGCCACTAGTTGCACGTCAGGTCTAGAAGCTACATAGGAGGATTCAGAGACATACTGTCGAGAGGATTGGACACTTCTATATTGACGATGGGATGTATTAGGATTCCTGTCAGTCGGAAGCGATAATCCTCTTTATATCCTTACAGAGGACTATGCAGGCCTCGGAATGAGGTTGCGAGCTCGCGGCCCTGAAATGAATTGATACCACAGGTCGGGAAGGCCTTCAGTCATTGGACATCCAATCTTCTATTTCAAACGTACATAAAGCCTCTAGCTAGGACTATCGATTGGATTTGCGACCACCGGGTGCCGATCAATGTCGACAATCACCACATATCGAGAGTTGGCTCCGTGAGTCGGTGTGGAATGCGGTCTCGTAGATTAGAACTTAAGGTGCTCTATGATTCGCTCCACAGTTCGTCCGAATCTACGTTGCTCTGCTCTGCCAAACCTGTCAAGATTTTGACGGGTCTTCGTCAGGTTTATCTACCACCAATCTGGTAGACGAAAGGGTTTACATAGGTCAGCTTTATCTCTCTCTCTCACTGTCATTCCCTCGGCCCAGATGGAAATTGATAACCGCTAATGACGATCTTCGCCCGCGGCTGATCGACAATCAGAGCTAGAAATAGCGACTCGGAGAATAAGATACTTAGATCTGGGGAAGAAAAACATAGACTATTGGTATTCCGAGCAAAAGATGGTTCAATCCAGGATCGAACTGGAGACCTTCTGTGAGCCAAAGAACTCGGCGAGTCTCAATGTGAGACAGAAATCATAACCACTAGACCATTGAACCGATGCAAAGCGCGTTGCGCGTGAGGATCAGCAGCCCCATCAGGCTCCCTCCATTAGAAGGCGCTCAGCCTGTAATTAGCGACCAAAGATGAGAAACCAGGGTTGATCGAAGATAAATTTTCCCTGTTATGGCGACTTGTACCGTCCCCGAGTTTAACGGAGGATGTGTCGAGGTCTGAATGGAAAGGATCTGCCTAAGCTATGCGCAAGAAAGGGACAGCGACGTCGCACTAATCCAGTCGGTCATATCTGTCCCAAAGCAACCTCCGCCGGGATGACAACCCTATAGCAGACTCCTGTTTCTCAAAGATCTAGGAAGATGATCGTCCTGGCACATATTCGGCGCCATAATTCAAATTTTCTCGGGGTTTTGGGAGAATATGCGATCAATTAACCTGTGCGATTGGCGGTCATCCGGTTAGCATACGCCACAGAAAGGGATTCGATGAATATCATGTTGGAATAACACCTTTTCGAGGAAAGGCAGCGTGGTGAATCTATGCTGCGTCATGTAAGGTCGTGTATGTCAGCCCGGAAGTTTATTTAAGGTGGCCTTTGGCTGTACTAAAGATTATACACATAAATCGCCTACTCGGCGCCCAGTTAGAAAAGTACAGTATTATCAAAATGGAAGGTAGGGAGGCTCAAATGGCCCAGGGTACCGGGGGGGTATCCCGAAGCATCTATCAGGGAGGCGCGCTTATTTCATTTCCTTTTCGGTGTTGTTTGCGGTGATGGAGCCATCCTTTTAATTCTTTTCCCCGGGTTTGGGGAATTGTCAACCCATTTATCTCCGTACTGGAGCATTGTTATTTATAGGTCGGAACGTTTACGGAAGGAGCGCATTGGCCATGGTCGTACCGAGCCTCATGCGCTGCGGCTTACCCTCACTGGATTGTTTTCCCCGTTATTTCTGGCATGGGGCAACCGGCACCTTTGGATGGTACTCTGGCTAGTAACCTGCCACGAATTCCTCTGTTATCGTAGTAATTAATCGGTCATTCGGATACATGGATCGCTCATACCCAGGACTGATTTAACCCTCATATTCCGATTGCTTTTCCTTGTGGCTGGGAGGCTTTCGCAATGTTAGAGAGTACTGGTTTGAGTCCTTCATCAAGCCGCGTGCAAGGCATTTCGTCAAAGTTATTTGGGGCCAGAAGAATGATTTACTCATCCACAAATTTTCTATTCATCCCATGATAACGGTCTAAAATTCCATCTAGAGCCATACGGAGTGCATGTGCTCAAAATTATCATCTCGCGTATCACCGCATCCCATTTCCTTCACGTAGGAAAAGAGACGGAAAATTTCGATTCTTTCATAAATCGACGATCTTCTACATACCCCGAGCACATATAATATGTGCCGCTCGTCATGATCACCAGACCAAACTTGATTATAGATACGCTGCGTAAGCTCATCCATCTACTTCGTTCTCGTTATGCCTTCTAATCCAGCTCCATATATCTGAGTTCTCGAGATAGGTTATGCTTCCCCAAATCCCAGAATTCTGAAGAGTCTATTGCATCAATGTCAGCAAGGTGGCTATGGGGAGAGAGTCTGTGGGATAGGACAATGCCTTCTCGCGTTCAAGAACAGCACCTATCCCCAATTCCTACAGTTATCTCAGGAGTTGCCAACGCTTCAACGACTCAGACTGGTGTCCTGGTTTCTCGTTAAGTCGATATGGGAGTTGGTTATAGAGAAAAGCAGGTGGGAAGCGAGATACGTATTCAGAGACGACATGGAAGCCGTACACACCAACAATAATGGTGTTGTCCTTGATATCGTCATGGGCTGTCTCCATGGATGGGATGGTTCCCTACCTCGTTCGATGAAGAAAAGATATGGATGGGAAAAATATTACCGAAGAAAAAAATCGATCGCTTACCTAACCAATATTAGCGCCCGTCACTCAAGTCGCACGGGACCTCAACGAGGCCTCAAGGCAAGGATAAGGGCAAGGCAGAACTTTCTAGACTTCGTAGTATTTATCGCGCCTGATAACCAACTGAACAGCCTCCTTTACAAATAAAGACAAGTGCCAAGCTTCTTGTTTTTTTTTAACTCAGCCAAGCACGTTGTTGTTCCTATTTTGAGTGCTTTACTTAGTCTCGTCTCCCATCCGTGTGGTGATATATAAGGAAATTCCCCGTGGGAACTGTCCATTTGATGGACAAAATATCACCACAACGTCTGGTGCATTTGGACCGCGCAACCCTCCATACGTCATAATGGTCAAATCTTTGTTTTCTGAATTGCCTCCAAACCACTTCGCCTGAAGCTTCCAAATTGATACATTGTGTTGAGGTAACATGCCTCCACTTCAAAATCTTTGAGAAGGCTGTGTAGTACTGGCCTGGCTGACCATATCATTGGCCTTGAGCATAGCATCAGCCCGAAAGGCAGCCGTCAAACGTAGACTTCTGATTTTTGAAATATTCTAATTTTCAAGATTCGGACTCTACTACATCGAAAGAAACATCTGCAAAAAAAAATTGGCCCAAGGCCAACGAATTGGATTCAAATGAGAGGTTTTTTTTGATGGAGGGTTGCGCGGTCCAAATGCACCAGACGTTGTGGTGATATTTTGTCCATCAAATGGACAGTTCCCACGGGGAATTTCCTTATATATCACCACACGGATGGGGACGAGACTAGCTTTACTTATAATTACAGGGCAGTGCTACTACCTTTTTCTTCCCTTCTCACTCCAACGCTTACCTCTCTATTGATCTGATCCATCGTTGACTACGTCGACCCTCAGACACTGCTTACAGATGCCACGATCGTCTCCTCCGATATCTCCCAGTCCAGATGCACGGGAGTCAGAATTGGGCTCTCGGTCAACGATTTCGACCCTACTTCCACCTGAAGCATTGATTTTGATGGTATTATCTATCATGGAAGCTCAGGAGGAGATGCATGGATGGACGCGCGGTCGGCAGCAAAATCTCGAGTACCTCCGTCAACCGTTCAATATAATCAAGCATGATTGGGTTAGATATCTTGGATCTATGAGCAAGGCTGATAAGGCAAGGCTAAGAAAACGTATTGAGGATGTTAACAAGATTCGGTGAGTATTCCTTCATAGGCATCTTGTGGACGCTGGACGCTCACTGCGCCCGACAATTTCTTTTGTTTGAATTCGCAGGGAAGATTTAGAGACTAAGCTGACGTTTTATGAAACGACAGACACTGAGATTCCTGAGCCACTGGAGGCCTTTATAGGGTTGAAGAAACACGAAACTACAGACGGTCGAACCCTTGTTTTTGTAAAGCTGAAGCGAGAGATCGTGGATGGTTTTGGAGAGGGCGTCGCTTCGATCATGGCGTTGATGAAACCTGAACCTCCTGAACCTGCACCTCAGCAGGCAAAGAACGCATTCTTGGGAGTTGCGGCACCGCTGTCTGTCGGGGATCGATTTCTGGAGGCTTTACCCCCTCGGGCACCCGGGGGCGTCAATGATATTAGTAACTTCGAGGGTGGACTATTTCGCATCTTTGTGGAGAATATACTGCTTGGCAATTGATGAACTCAGTTTATCTGCAAGGATATCGATATGTCTTCTCAGGACCAACCGGACGAGAAATATCGATGTGTTTGTGCGCCACCGGCGTTGTACACTTTAGAATGGACGTTGAATAGGTTGACACGAGGGTTTCCATTTGTAAATAATCTCCAAGGACATGAAATAAATTACATCTTTTTTCTCATTTTGACAAAGCCGTCTGCTCTCGTCGTTGCACATGCGATTTCCGACGAGGAAATGTGGCCACATGGAAAGCACGCGGCCCGATCACGGCGCTCGTCGTCGAAACTCGGATTCCGCCGAAGTGGGACCTCCCTCTGCCCCATTCCTCTTCCACCCGTTTTCACGGCTTCCCTTATCACCGAGTTCTCGTAACGAACGTATCCCGTTGGAGGCTACTGCCTCTAAGTTATCGGTGCCTCGATCACCCCCCACATCTCTTACGTAGCAGACAGGAGATCCGAGAAGGTCTCTTCAACTGGAATTAGCTTGTGGGTGTTCTGACTCACTTGATTGTGTGGATACTTACCATTGAGGGCTTTTGATAGCGCTCTCACCACCCCCACCACTATCAGTAGTGCTTATCTTTCTGTCCTCTGCGACGTGTTGACCGTCGCGCTTGAACAGGAAACCGAGGCTTCAAAACTAGGAACGTTCTCTCCGAGACCTCCGGGAAATCCAACGATAACCCCTAACGTTCATACATAATTCGACCTTGTTATAAGTAAGTACGATCGGTTTACTCTCCTTTCTTTCTTACCGAGGCTTTACTTACGTCCCTCCAGGGAAAACCGGAGGACACCAGATCGGGCAACGTGCCATCCCTTTTTCTTTGCAACGTGCGTTTTCAATAAATCCGGGGTACATCATCCATTTGCGAATCGGGACCCTTCTTCGCTCGTAGAGTCATTTCTACCCATCCTCTAAATCGATACGAACTTTTCCTGCTTTCTTTCTTCCTTTCTCTACATAGACACTCCGGTCGAAATCCATCTATCTAAAGTCATGTCCTCATCGCCGCCTATCCACGCACACACCCACCACCTCTCTTTCTCCAGCAGCAACGCAGGTAGCCCGACATGGTACGGGTATGGAAATGGGAGCGGGAGCGGACCAACGTCGGGAACACTGAGTAGTGGGGGTTACGGATACGGGTATGGGTCAGCTGGTGGTGGAAGTGAGGGTAGGAGGGGGAGCGGATCGGGTGGGCCGGGGTTCGGATTTGGTGGTGGTGGTGGTAGCAGTGGGCATGGGAATGGTGGGGTTTGGGCTGCCCGTTACGGTGCTGGTGGGAGCGGAGGAGGTGGCAACAGTGGTAACAGCGGTGGAAATAGGAGTAACAGTGGTTACGACTCTGCAGCAGGGCAGAGACGGCATGAGGAAGAGTTGATTAATGCGTATGAGGCGGAGGAGGAGAGGATTATTAATGTGCTTTCGAGGAAGCTGGAGAAGGTTCGTCTTTTC